TATATATATATAAATATGTATAACTAAAATATTTACTTGAACGCCTGCAAATAATGTGCCACGTTTTTGGGACTGGTCATATAAGAAACATAATCTAAAATTTTCTTGTTTACAATATCTCCAAACATTGTATGTATAATCTGTCTTAAGAGTGCTACGATTCTCCTTCTTAGCCACTGATTTCGAGATTTAAGATCAAATACTTCATCCATGAGGAGTAACATTATTCTTAATGGAATATTATCGCCGCTCTATAAATGGAAAAATCAGTACATAAAACATTAAAAAAAGCAAAATTTATCATACCTCGGTGTCTAAGGAAGCCCCTACTTTAGATGACTCTTGATTCTGGTTTTTAGTTTGAAATACTTTACTGATACCTTCCACAACCTCATCTACTGTACTTATCAATTGTTCAGGAACATTCCTGATTGTTTTTATTCCAGATTTAAATGGATTAACTATTGTATCAATCTAAACAAATTAATCTTAAATAATTATTAATGTGATTTTCTAACAAAACGGAGAATATTTACTGTATGAGAGATGGGTCCCCCTGAAGTTACTTTATCATAGTCTCCTTGTTCCAAAAAATTCATTAATAAAGTTTGTAAGCCATGATGGGCAGTAAGAACATCTGATCTACATAACTGTTTGAGATAAAAACCTAACATTTGCATTCTTTTTTCCAATACAGACCTTTCCATGTTGTGAAATGTCTTTTTCCCAGGGAAAGGTAACTTTGCTAAATTTGGGAACTAAAAAACCAGTTTTTTAATTTATTTCATATATTAACGAAGTAGGTTTACCTTTTCTTTAATTCTGTGTTGAAGATCATAAAAATCACTGTATCGTCTGTAAATGTGCCATTCTTCTATATAACTGCTTTCATAACTACATTTTACGTGAATAGCATATACTCCGAATGTCTTTCCTTTTTCACATACAATTCCTGTTAATAATTAAATCATTGTAAAATTAAATAGTGTAAGTTAAGCATAAATTACTGTACCTGTTTCAATTATCCTCGCGTCTAGAGTAAATGGTCCGTTTTTTAAGTTTAGTAATTGTTTTTCATTATCTTCTCTTATGCAATCTCCATTCTGACTAGAGTCGAAAAGTTGCTCTTCAACGTTTCTTATATTAAAATCAGTAATATCACTAAACGATCGGGTATGCTTGGTTGGTTTTTGACTGTCATCCAAGCAATGTGAATTTAAAGGGTTATTGCCGCTTATTATTTGAACTCTGCTGTCTGTCATATTTGAACTAACGCTGTTGTATTTCTCATCACCCGAGGAATCCACAATCTCGAGACTACTAAAACTCAAACTGTCTTCATCTGCAGTATGATACTGTAGTAAATCCAATTCTTCCAATAGTCTTAAATACGTTTTACTGTAATAGAACTGTGGCAATATTTCTTCCTGACAAACAAAATTATATTTTTTAACAATATTATAATTTAATACATAATATAGTGTAAACCCTCAAGCATTTTGTTTTTTCATAATAAAGTATTGTTTCGTTACAGAGAGAAGTTATAGAGAAGGTTATTATGATACGACGATACATTTGCACCGCTACGTAAGTAGTATTCCAAATTTAACATAAATGTTACATTGTTATCAAAGTGTTTATGGAGTTAGACCTATAGGTATTTAGAGTTATTACCTTTAAGTAAAGTTGCTTTAATTATTATTAAAATAAGGTACAATAATTCTAAATTGCATTGTTGTAAAAGTCGCAACTAAAACACGAAAAAATTAAATCCAAAGAGTAAATATTAAATTTAAAGATTGTTATTTATGAAATATTTTGTTAATAAATGGAAATTTAAAAAAAAGCATTACAGTAAATAAACTCTAAAGAGCTTCATCCTCACTACCACTAAACCTATTCACTTATCAACATTATCAACGCGAGACTCTAACAACTCTAATAATCGTCCGAAACATGTAGAATTGTTGAAGTACGTGACACTGAAACATTTTAACATTTGATAAATGTTTATTTCATGTACTTTTATCCGTTTTAGTGGTTTGTGTATTAGACAATCCGAAATATAATAATAATTTTATTTTTGTACATAAATTCACTGATTTGTAGTTAAAAAAAGTGTCGTTTTGTATTGCGTATTTAAAAGGGGGTCCCGTTAATTTTATAACTTAGTAACTCGATTTTATATTAGGTTACAAGATATTGACAGAAAAATTGGCTTTAAAAGTTTCCTAGTTACTCAAGTTGCTGTAGTTGTTGACAAACTATATAGTAAAAGTATCAAAATAAAAATTAATTTAAAAATGAAAAATTTTCCCTCATCTTAATTTAAAAAATACCCTATTTAAAACAGAACCTAATGTTTATAGAAACCTTTTTATAATAAATGTAAGAGCAAAAAGTTTCACGAAATAAACGTATTCTAAGAACACCATTTTTTCATTACACAACCATACTGTGACTTTTTTTAGATTGATATTGTATAATTGATACATAAATTTTTGAAACAGGTTTAAACATTCATACCTGCATTTTTTTATAAACGGCGTCTCTCACTTCATCAAACCATAACTCAGAAGGCTGTTCAGTTAAATTTCTTATTTTAAAAAATAAAGTTTGCACCAAAGACGATGATAGTTGAACTTTTTGTTCATCTTTTTCACTTAAATATTGTTCAAAAATATTTAAAGCAGTTGCACGAATGTTATCATAAGCATGTGATACACTTTCACCTGGATTTTTAAATTTATTTAAGTGTAAATCAGATAACTGCTGCTCTACTGAAGTTTTCCATCCTAAAAGTATCATGAATTATTGTAATGTATAATTCAAATTATCTTTATTTTGTAATTACCTTCAACATTAAGATAGAAGAAAAGATAAACTTGATAATCTGTCTTGGAAACATAATCAATAAAGTAAGACAGTGCAATATTATTTTTTAGAATAATATCTAACGGTAGTTTTATTTTTACATTTTCAATTGTTTCTAATTCGCTTGTGCAACTTGGGGTAACTGAAACTGAGTAACATGTAAATAAAATGAAAAAAGGAGTTTTATTTTTTGTACCTAATATTTCCATATTGTCAATCTTCTGCAGTCGGTTATCAATTAATTTTTTTACATATGCCAAACTACTTAATTGTTGTTTGACTATCATATCATTCTCTCCACCACAATCCCTTGAACGCTACAAATATGGTATATATAGTAACAAAACAGCTTAAAGTATATGATGGACTTACCAAGTTTTGTATTTCTCTATTTGCAATCTCTTTAGAATATTTAAGTTCAAGAGCACTATTGGAGAGTCTGATTGTAGTAATAAATATTTCACTTAAAGGCGTATTTTCTCTAAAACACTAAAAAATATATCTTTAATATACCTGTTGTCCTTTAACAGAAAACATGCATTAGGTACATGCTGTTGGAGTTTATCTTATTCTAAATGCTAATAATTACCAGCCAAATAAGGGATTGGTTGATAAAATCTGGATCACAAATCATATTAAACAAAGGTAAAAAAATACAATTGACTAAAATTTCTCTTAAGAGATACTGTAAAGGTTTACATTGAAAATCTTCATCAGGAAGAAGTAGGTATAACAGAAGTTCTGTTAATTCCAAAAGGTATTCTGGAAAAAATTATATTTCAAAAACAACTGAACTAAAAATGATTGAAAAAAAGAAAACAGAATTTAAAAACCACCTTTTTCTTTATCAGGGTTCATGCATACAGAATCTCTACAAAGTAATTTTTTTTCCATTTGGCATTCCAAATCAAAAAAATTATCTTCAAGCGAATACTTTTTGTTTGGCTCTTTGGTGTTTGATTGTGATTTTTCCAATTCACGCTTTCCACCTATAAAACAACTTTTCAAATATTACTTATATCAGTCATGTGTACAAATAACAAGAACCTTCATTTTCTTTTGTACTCCAATATCCTACATCTGCTTCACTTTTAGTTCTTTTATGAGATTTTTTAGAAGAATATTTATCTCTTGATGGTGAATCCCTATGATATTCAAATTTATTAAACTGTTCAATTCTATAACAAGCTTGCTTAAAAAGTTTTAAATGACTTGCACCATCATCTACTAAGCGTGTTGTCAAATATGGAATCCAATCTATTTCTTTTATCCTAAAAATTTAAAAAATATTCATACATCTAACATCATACATACAGCAAATGCTAACCTGTTGGATATATTAATAGCTAATGCTTGAGCAGTCCTTTTAATAGCAAATTCGGGAAAATCTTTGTCATTTGTTACAATAGTATACCAAGGTAACACATAGTCTCGTATCACATAACCCAAAATCTCTTGTAAAGAGGTATCTATAATTTCACTCCCTGTTACCCTCTTATCAACTTTTATAGTTTTGCTTGGATTAGAAAAATTGTTTGTAATCTGAAGTAATAAGAAGCAGAATGTAGACAAACTTACTAAATAAAAAAATATAAAGGATACTTTTCTTAAACCTCCTTCGGAAATGTCTTTAGAAGTTAATGGATTATTGGCACAACTTTTATAAAAATTTTCGATGTGTCCTTCTTCAACATATAGCAATGAAAAAATTCTAAATCAAAAAGCAGAAGTTATGCAAAATATAGTAATGTGAAAAATAATTTTTTATTACCCCAACAGAAGAGCGGTGATAGAAAAAATGAGCATTAAAAGAAAATATAGGCCAAAGATGTTGTAAATGAATAGGACGATGGTGCATGTCCACAGTATATAGTTCGCCATTGTTATGCATTGTTTAGTTTGCGACTAAAATCAAAATTTACAACTACACATTACCATTTTCGTCCATTTTTAATAAAAATGCAATAATTAGAAAACCACAATAATCAACAAAAACAACTTAACCTTCTCTGTTGTTTATTTAGTGTTTGACAGGCAATTGACATATTTTAAACCAAACAATGAAACTGATCGAAATCATTATTCATTATTATTGCAGCTTTAACGAAAGATCTGTTCTATTCAATGAACTAAACGAAATGCCTCTTTTTTACATCGTTTCCTATTACTGAATAGAATGTGATCCAATGCGTGCCTAATGCCTAAACGCTCTTAAAAGTGAATGATTTGCATGGTTGAAAAAAATTTTTTTTAATAATTTATAGGTAGTTAATATTCGTTAAAATTTTGAATTTGAATTTTTAAGCGTCGGCATTGAACAGAACCAAAAATGACTTAATAATGAATAGAAATGCTTTTTATTAGCAAAATTTTTCATGTAAATGATGTAAATTAATCAGTTTTAAACATTTTAACTAAGTTAGCAAAACCAACATTGTATCGAAAAATAGGCAAATAAGAAACATAAATATGTTATACCTATGTATATAAAGTATATTTTATATTTTTATGTATACATATCATACTCTACATTATATGCTGATTCTTTAATTATTCCTGTTTACAAACGTTTTAGGTATTCGAAAGCAAAATCTTTTTTATCATTTATTATTGATTATTTATGTCATTAGTTTTTGTTGACAACACTTGTAAAATTTAGTCTTTTTTAAATTGAGTACCTACCTAAAAGATTAGAAAAAATTACGCTTTGATGGTGTATAGTTAACTTGATATTTGATAAAATATTTATGAACGGGTTCTTTAAACAGGCAAAGGTTTTATAATAAACAGATAATCGATATATAAATGAAATTCTCCTTTCGTTGTCCTCAAGTTCAACCCTATATTGATTGTAACGCAACAATGAAAAACGCAGGTCCAAGATGGCTCTGACAGAACAGCAAGATATGATATCAGTATTCTTCAGGATCGCGGTAGTGTAACTTGGTTTCTTCTGATCCTCTCGGTTTACGAACTTTCGAATTATTTTTACTCAATTAAATTTTTTTATAAATAATTTCTGGGAGCAAAGTTACTTTAACCATTCAGTAATAAAGACATTTAGTATCAAAGTTATGTAAATCCTGTTTTGTTTGAAAATTGTTGTATATTTCTTTAGTGATCCATAAAAAAATGACAAACTGACTTAGGCCAGAAAGTACAGTTAATAATTGTTTGTGATCAAAAGTTTACTGCTGTTATTCTCCAACAAATAGTGAATATTAACAAAATTCAGCAATGTTGTAAATGTGTTTTGAGCAAGTAGATGCGTACCTATGTGGGTGTTTGTAAATTTAGAAGAAAAGTATATAAGCTAGCATGAAGATCTATTATCAAAATGTAAGTTATTCTTTAAAACTTATATAAACTGAAGCATTAAAAGTGAGGAGTTTACCTATTAATTTGAAGTAAATAAAAAAGAAATTAATTTTTATGAATTGTTTCTTTAACGACTAGTAAAATATGAAATATTGATGGACCAGTGAAATACCTACCTAGGTTTAAATTCGGAAGACTTGTTTTTTTTTCTAAAAAAGATTTATAATTGTTATTATGAGGTTTATTAAAAATATGTGTACCTACATTATTTATTTAAGTTTGAATATAGATACAAATGACTACCTATTAGGTCATCATTTCTACAAAGAACTTCTTAGATAATGTTACTGTACTTGTTATGAGATTATAGTGCTATTCGACCTAATATTATTTTTGCTTGAATATTACGGCTGTCATTGAAAATTCTTTGTTTTTTATTTTTATATGTTGTAATCTTGCATAATAGTTTCAATGGGGCTAGGCTAGGTTGTCGAGTTGTAGTGGATATAGTAATTTAAATAGGTAGATACATTAAACATTTTTTTATAATTCGAATGGGTTAAGTAACAAGTGTGCAAAAACTGCTTCCTTATAAATATTTTCAGGACAAACAATTATACTCAGTAAAAAAATTGATCCCTCAATAATAATATATACCTACTAAAAAATATGTATTTTACTGCAATAGAAAATATTGTAGTTACCTATTTAGGCTCAATTTTTGCCCGAAAATAAACAAGAATTATTTCTATTGGATAGATACGGATGTCCACTATATTTTATCTTCTTTTCGAAGGCAATTTGTCGAAAATAGGAAGGAAAATGTTTTTATAGCAACCTAAATTAGGTTGATACATGAGTTTCTCCAAAATTATGAATTTTTTACAAACGGTTCATCGTGTTTTCTACGGTGAGTAGGGAGGAAGATGAACCTCTTATCATTAACTAAAATAATTTAAACTGTCGATCGCTTCTGATTACACCGGAAGTTGATGCCAACTTTGTTATTTTAAATAGAATGATAAATTTTTTACGACGAATTCCTACGAAACACAAAATTTTAAGGTAACTTTAATAACCAACTTGTATGCTTAGGATAGATAGTTTCAGATATAATTTAATTTTTAGATATAAAATCGCTAGGTACCGCAATTCAAACTATAACAACTCATAACATTTACAAAAAATGACTTAGTGTGTTGAAATTTTTACCAGTTATGGTCGTGTCTTATGACTAATGTTAAACCAAAATTGAGCTTCATAATTTATACTGGACGTCCAGAAAAAAAATACAAAGTTTAAAAACTTCAAACACGAATAATTTCGTTTTTTCAAATGGCACTTACCATATTTTATATTGTTATTCGATTCCTCTTTTTGTCCACTTTAGATCCATTGGGTTTTATCTAAAACTTACTTTGACATAACAAAAGTGTGTTGTGGACAATTGCCAGCTACCTCAAATGTTAAAAATCAGAACCTTATCTTTCGTTTTTATAAGTTAAGGAAATGATAGAAAACGAAGCTTGTAAGGATTTGACGGAATTTGGTTCTTTCCAAGTTTCTGTTAAAAGTGTCAGTGGAGATGAAAACAAAATCAAATTAATATTTTTGCATTACTTCTTGTTTTTTTTTTTGTGCATGCCCATAAATTTATCAAATCTCCATCCACAGGATTCTTCATAAATAAGGAATAATGTATTTAAGTTTGAATTGCAGTATTGATTATAAGCTTCGTTTTCTATTATTTTTGTAGCATAAAAAAACGAAAGGTATGTTTTAGATTTTTAACATTTGCTGTAGTTCTTAATTGTCCAAAGGATTTTCCTCGATAACCCCTACTTCCAAATTTTCAAATCTCTTACATGTTTAGTTTCCTAAAACACCTAATGTACCACTCAGTTTGAAAAACTCTGAATATGTTGTACAGTAAAACAAAAAAAATTGGTAAATTTCTAAAAATAAATATACGAATTAAAAAAAAATACCATCCAAAACGAATTCGAAACGGCGTAGCGTTTGTACCCTGTAGGACGAAAGTGGTGCAACTTGAGTAGGCAACTAATCATAGTTAAGGTAGGCAGGATATGGAGATGGATCGACGCCAGAGATGCGTCTCTGTTCGACGGATGATCCTACTATTAGATAATAATAGAAGATGGTAAATGTATTGTACTACTGTAGATTATAGACAGCGTGGAAAGAGGCATTTAGGATTATGGAATTAATCGGTTTGCAAGCGGATTTTGCTGAAACATATGTGGACGTATCTATTTGTTTATTATTATTATTATATCTGTACCAAACTCACCACAATGGGAAAGTTTTACTGTTTTGCTATTTTTTTGGTAGAGGTTGGGATTCGGTTACTGTAGTTACTGTTCGTTTCAAGAAGTTGGAGATATGCCCCTTCCCTTTATGAGGGTGCGCCGTAGCATAATTCGAAATTCAATCATATTTGTCTGCGGAGCTCATTTTTCCACCGATGATCGAGCGAGAACTAGACAAAAGTGTACAGTACCATTTGCAAAATTATTTAAACTGCCTCGTTAAAATTTAAGAATAAGCTATTTAAAAGCATATTTAGCCAAAAATAATAACAAGTGAATTAACTTAACGCTCTACACACCTATAAAACCTTTGCTTTGTCTTCTATTGTTAATTTATATACACTTTTGTTTTAAGAAATTGCTAAATATTTTGGTCTAGTACAGTTCTAGCCGATCTCCTAAGACCGCCCATCGAGAGCTCTGCTCGTTCAAGCTTGTTCCATCTACGTATTTCTGTCTTGCTCACGCCTAGTGGCTATTCTTTCTATCTTTGCGCAGATTTCTTCAAGGTCACAATTCTAACAAATTGAAATGGGCTGTACGTCTATATCTATTTGTAAAAAAAGAGTAACTTGCATCCGTTGGATATAAAATTGGTAGTCTTTTTGTCAATGAAGCCATCACTACACCTACACCATGACGTCTTTCTATGGTTTCGGGTGGTTTCTGTGCCAGATACCTGGCAGGTCTACCTCTACTCCTATTAACTCCTGTTTCTGCCTCTAATATGTCTCTGACTAGACCGTCATGCCTGAGAAGGTGTCCTCCCAATCTACCTCGCTTATTTTTTATTGACATTTATAGAAACTTTTAGAAACCTCTGTGTTCATATTCTTTCTAATACCTTTTCATTTCTAACTTTCTCTATCCATGGTATCCTCATCATTCGACGGTAACACTATATTTCGAACGCTTCCAACCTTTTATTTTCGAATTTCTAAATTAATCGTTTGCGAGCATAGAAGACTTCTTTTTATTGAAGACGACTCGCCCCTGCGCTATCCTCTGCTTTATATCCCTACTACTCCTTCCGTCCTGACTTATCTGACTTCCTAAATACCTAAAATCAGACACTTCTTCTAATTTTTCGTCTCCTATCTTTATATTCGCTCTTTCCCTACTTTTTCTTCCCTTACCATCCAGTATTTTTGTTTTACTTTTATTTATTTTCATACAATATTGTTTTGTCAATACCGCTTCCGTTTTATTTAAAATTATCTCTAACTCCTTCGTGCTAGATGGTAATACTGCTATATCATCTGCAAATCTTTTGCCTATATACCTATTTCTATCTCTACAGTTGTTCTGTCTTTAATGATGTTGTTCGCGTCTTCGATGTATAGATTAAAAAGTAGCGGTGACAGTGTGCATCCTTGTTAGAAAGTGAAAATAATCATTTTTCAAAAAAAAATCGTTTCTCACTGTCCCTCTGTAAGCTGTACATGTATCTATAGTACCTAGTAGGTACCATTTTTTATTATATCAGTATCAACTATCTGGCAGGATTGTAGGTACACCATCTTCTTTTTTCACTGTATCTTCAAATATGCTTTCTACCTACTTTGGGTTTAGATGGTTGCCTACCATAACGGGCCACTTTCAATCTAGTATGGTATCTAAAAGTGAGCAACATGGCAAATTGGGAAACTATACTCGTGCATAACGTAATTGTCAATTTTTTGAAAAGTTTTAGTCGCTCTTATAATAAAGCTAAGAGAGGCATAAACTTTTGAAATGACGTTATTTAAGCGATCTACAATGTGAAGGAGCAGTAGAAATTAACACCCGTGTCTATAATAATTTCTAATATGGCTAAGGGATCGGGCTCAATTTTGTACATATATATAATAGGATTATGATTAATTACAAAAGGCATATTGTTTTTTTTAACATGTAACATTAATTGATTTTATTGTGCCCATGAAACAATAGATTCGTAGTCTCTCTGAAACATGGAATCATCATCATTCGGGGTAGTTAATAATAATACGGATTTCCATATCGTCTGTATACAATAAATATTTACTATAACGATAATGAAAATGATGCGTATAATGTTAAATAAGATAGGACCACAGTGTGATTCTTGAGGTACACCTGAAGTAATGCCAAAATCAGATAAAATTTGAAATTTATCGGATAAATAAGAAGAAAACTACTTAAGCAACATTCCGCCGATAGCAATCTGTTGTATATAATTGAACAGGTAATTAAAATCTAGAAAAATTAATTATTTTAATTCAATAAGGTATCTGATTTAAAATCATTGACGTTGCTTATTAGGTAGGTGCTGATAGAAGTTTCTATTGTGAATATGTAATGCACAGTAATTTTGAAATGAAACTATTTAGGTAAACTGGACGAAAATAACGACAGCCTATTTGAATATTAAAGTGGCGCTCTTTGCACATAATTTACCCTAACAGTTTCCTTCCCATTTACTTTTACGGTTGCGTGTTAACGGGATTAAATCAAGTCTCATTTGCAAACACGCTTTCGAGTTTAAAGAAAAGAATAAAGGAGAGATGTGGTTGCACAAATCCAATTAAAATCCCGATAAAATGTAAAGTAGGTGATAAATTGATATACTAACTATGTGTATAAACAACTGCAAAATTAAGAAAGATAAGAAAATCGAAGTGTTTTAGTGTGCGAAAAAGATGTCAACAGATATTTGAAAAATGATTGGTA